GTGGCATTCAGATGGCCAATAGTATCGATGGAAAGAGGTCCCTCTTTTTTCCTTTTGCTCATTTGACCTTTTTCCTTGGGAGATTTAAGATAATCTTGTTGGCTGCTTCAACTTAGTCGTTGGTGCAGGGATGATGTACAGAGGTGAATTTTAGATTTATTATTTAACTCTCTTAGAAGCTTTTAACAGAATTGGCAATGATGATTAATGGGAGCCCACATCGACAAATAAGTCATGTCTAGATAAAATTCCAAACAATGGTTGTGGTGATTCGAGCTAGTGCCTCGGCTTCCACATTTTGAGAAGTAGTCAACAATGCTTAAGAGGAATTTAATTTGTTCAATGCAGGGTCAAAAAGGTTCTAGAATATTTAACCCTCATATGCCGAAATGTTGGGGACTTGTTATAAGTTTTAAGTACTGAGCCAGCCTATGTCGTAGCAGACCATACTTTTGACACTGTTCACATCTCTTTGTGTATTCTATGGTGTCCTTAAGGAGCGTAGGCTAGAAATATAGGCCAAAGTTCTTCTTCCCATGTGGCTCCCACATTCACCCAAACATATTTTATGGAGGACGTCCCTAGCTTCGGCCTCTCCTAGGCATCGTAAGTATGGTGAGGAAGTGGTTCTCATAAAGAGCATTCCTTCCATCATCATGTACTATGCCACCTTGATCTTAAGATGATTTAGGTCCATGAACTCATCCACCAGCTCTCTAGTTTTGAGGTAATGTATGTATGGGTTCATCCAATTCTTTAGTCTTTCGTTGGACAACTCCATTGCTTCAAGTTTTTTGGTTATCAGTCAGAGCAATCAGTGTGATGTTTCGTCTCTCGATTGGAAAGATTTTAGATAAGAGATTTAATATTACGTTTTCATCCTGCCAATGCGGTTGATTCAAAAGCTAGTGAACAGTTTAATCTCCACCTTTATCTTGGAAAGGTACTTCACCATCACCTCATCCCAGGCCTCAAATTCCCCTTTTATCTTATTGACTACGAGCTGCAAGTTTATCTTCACATAAAGGTGGCGAGCACTTACATGGTATGCAAAGTGTAGGTCGGCGATAAGCGCCTTTTACTCTACATGATTATTAATAGCATTGAAATCTATGGCGATTGAATGATAGTGATGCTCACCAGGGAACTTGAGTCACCACAACCTAGCCCTGAGGCCATTTTATTGGAGGCTCCATCAGTGTATATAGTCCATATGCAATCTTCAGTGTTGGTTCCCTCATCTTGTTTAGATGGTCCAGTGAAGTCTGCTAAGAAGTCTTCCACTATTTGAGCTCAGATTGCTATTCGGGGGATGTAGAAGATATTGAACTTGCTTAGTTCCATCAACCATTTGAGTTCTTGACTTGAAAGTTCGAGGGGTGAGTGAAGATCACCGACCACCATGAGAGGGTGATCTATGACGACCAAGATTGAATGTGTTTAAAAGTAGAGTCGGAGCCTGCCAGTAGAGATAATGAGAAAAAAAGTTAATTTTTCCATGATAGGATACCCGATTTTGACATTATTTAAGACTCAACTGGTGTAATATGCTGAGTACTATTTCCCTACCTGTTACTTAACCAATACCGAGCTGACAGCCTCAGTCATGATCCTGAGATATAAATAGAGTTCTTCTTTTGGCCTTAAACTCTAGAGGACTAAAGGTGAAGCTAGAGAGTCTTTGAGCCTTCTGAATGCTTTTTCGCACTTGATGGTCCACACAAAATGTTTGACCTTTCTAAGGGATTGCATGAATGTTGCACATTTGCCGCCCAACTTGGATATGAATCAACAAAGCCCTATTATTCAGTCAATCAACCTTTGCACTTTTTTCATGTTTCGGGGAAGAGGCATGTTTAGTAGGTCTTGCACCTTTTTTGGGTTATCCTTGATGCCTTCAGGTGTTAGGAGATAATCGAAGAATTTTCCAGTCGAAGCTTTGAAAATACATTTCAAGAGGTTCAATTTAATATTAAATTTTCTAAGGGTTTTAATTGTTTATGTTAGGTTGTTTATGTGTTGCTCAGGCATTTTACTTTTTACCAATACATTATCCACATACACATCAACATTCCTTCCTTTATTTTCGGAGATAAGTACATCCATCAATCATTGATAAGTATCACCAGTATTCTTTAGCTTGTAGGGCATTACCTTGTAATAATACACTTCCTCATAAGTGATAAATGCCGTTTTTTTATTTCGGTGCAATGCTTCTTGATCTAATGATAGCCAAAGAAAATGTTTAGAAAGCTCATCATGCAGTGTTCAACTGATGAATCTACCAACATGTCGATCCTTGACAGTGGATAAATGTCTTTTGGGCAAACAACATTTAGGTTGGTAAAGTCGATGCGCAACTGCCACTTCCCATTGGACTTTTGCAACATCACCACAATGGATACCAATGTTCGGTTTGCACTTCACTAATGTAGCCCTCTTCCAATAGCTTATTTACTTTTTTCTTAGATTGGCCCAACTATAGTGGTGACCGATGATTCCAACTTCTCTTTGACCAACCAAACAATAGAATTGATGTTCAATCAATCATTTTGGCAACGAACCAGGTGAAGAGGTCTTGATGCTCTTGGAGTGTATAGACAGAAAGATCCTTTGATTGGGATCAAACAATTAGCTAATTAAAAAGAATTTACCCATCTCCTCATTTGTTGCGGGGACCTCTAGGGTGGTCTCAACTGGTCTCGAGGCTGCCCTCTCTTTAGTGCTGCAGTTCGAGTGGTTCTTGGCTGACGCTAGTTATTGCCCGGAGGTAACATGTTCTCGATTGCTCTAAGTCTAGCCAAATAGTAATGATCTTCCCTTCTCCTAAGAACTTCACAACTACATGGAAGGTGGATTTCATAGATTGAAAATTATTCAACAACGACTAACTGAAGATGGCGTTGTAAATGGGCAGAGAGTCAACTACTAGGAAATCTTCAAACCTTAGAAATTAAAGATTATTGTCCCCCAAAGTGATCGTCAGTGTGATCATTCCAATGGCTTCCTTTCTTTCCCCTCTGAAGGAAAAAAGAGGGTCAGAAGATGCTGTCAGCTGCTGTGCCACCAGGTTGAGCTTGTCAAACATGACTTTGCAAGATGTTCACCAAACTCACGGTGTCAATGAGTATACTTCCCACTTGGTAGTTGTTAATCAACGTTATAATGAAAATTACATTGTTGTAAGGGTTACCTTTAACCAGTAGGTCTTCATTAGCAAACATTATGGGTGGATGCCCGGTCCTTCATTGGACAAGAGTGGTGGTGCATAATTTTCTCGACCAGACCCTTTTTAGGCTTCATCACCACGAGGACTTTTTGCATCCTTTGAGTATGGCCCCTATTATACCTATGATCCGGATGGTGTTGGTTCAGACAGGCTCATCATTATCCCCACCAGGTGTGGGTAATCACCTCGGCAGCCACAAATTCTTTCACCTTTCCATCCTTGATTAACTCTTCAACCATACTTTTAAGGTGTTTGCACTCTTTCATGTCTTTGTCGTGGTCTCTGTGGTAGGTGCAGAATTTGTTCGGGTTTTGGGCCGAGCTTTTGACCCTCATTGGATGTGGTTTCTTGAAATAATCTTTAGCTTAGATGGCTTCCACTAGTTCTGTCATCGAAATTCTAAGGGGAGTCATCTTGAGTTGCTTCAATTGGGTCGTCAATTGCTCATTGTGGTGGGTTGGCTGTCGATTAGGGTATTGAAACTATCATTCTTTACACTGTGGTTTGTATGGTTTGATGTCTCTCTATCGGGGCTGATCCGACGTTATCTTGGTAATGTGAGTCATCACCCCCGTCTTCTTTTGGTTGTGACCTTCATTTGTTGGGTATTGACTCGTCTTGCCTGTCGTTGGTTGCTGGTCCATCCCGGGGGTCGGCCCTTTAACGACTATATTCTTGTTGATTCTGACTTTTGGCCTTCTCTGTCTAGGGCTTCTTGAAGAACACCCACCATCTATTCTCTCATTTCTAGCATCAACTGCTCCCTTATCTTGATTACTTTCTGCCTTACAATCTCTTTTGTAACATCCACATCTACTTGGTTTAATGTCTCTTGGGCGCCTGCTTTACCGTTGCGCTGTGCTCCTCTTTATGTTGGTGGCATGATTCCTGCTCACCGCACCTTTTATGGTGTTGAACCCAAAAATGTCCTGGAGTCACACCCAAGGAAAAGCGCACGTGAAACAAATAAAGGAAAAGAGAGTAAATAGTAAGAAAAAGTGTTTAGAGTCTTTTCTCATGAAATAGTCTCCTATTTATTGGTATAGAAGACACCTTGAGTACATAATTACCTTTTGGCCCTCTCCTATGTAAGGAAATGTAGGTGCATCTTGGTCATATACATGGTACATTTAATTAGGCTAATAGATAATTATTGATTAATGACGACATATTTCTTTATTCGTCGTCCCGTGCTTGTTTGCTTGACGATGATAGATCGAACCACGTGAAGATGGTATGAAGGTTACTTGGTTGGACATTCCCATGGCTTCCTCTCGAATTTTGGTTCGCTCGCCTCGTTCGCTGAATGATAAGGTGTCTTTTGTTCGGCATAGCCGAACGACTCGATAGAGCTCCATGACGATCTCCTGACTTTGACATTAATCTTCTTAATTATTCAATTTAGTTTGTTGACTGGTTCTGTCACATCTTAACTGGGGACCCCTTCACTTGCCGCATTCCTTAGCTTTGCATCAAGATCCGTGCCACCAAGATCTGGTCATACAAATGAAAATTTACATACATAGCACGCAAGTCCTATGCATTTACTTGTCTCTCACCCAAATTTTAATTTTTACAAGCTAAACACATTTTTCTATGTATAAAAAGATGTATGAAAATATGGATTAGACTGTTTAGATTCAAAGGGTGCTTCAGAAATAATATTTAAAATTTAGATTCAAAGGGTGCTTCAGAAATAATATTTAAATTTAGGCGTGAGATAAATAAACGCGCAGTATTGTGTGCTATGTATGTAAATTCTCCTCTAAAACTCAACCTTTTTTTAAAGGTGAGCTACAAACTATAGAACTCAAATCTTTTCTTTATCACAGCGGATTCAAGCGTCTTGCACCCGCCTTATCCCCAGCTGAGGGTTTATCGTCGATTGGCTAATTGATCGATCGGACTTCCTATCAGCTTCTCTCGCTAACTCATGGCAGTCGCTGGGCCATCCGTTCTCTCTCAGCGCTCCCTGTACAGATTAAGCCCATTCTTTTCTACTACCCGCTCCCGTTGCTCAGGCATTGCATTTTTCCGCTGGAATCTAAGCCTCCCGAACAGGAAATCTTTTTCAAGTTCAGTTACCCACGCATCTTATTTCATGCCTTCTGTTATTGGAGCTGGATTTAACGCCTTTTTTGCTGGCCAGTTGCGGCTATGACGAATTGTGGCTTCACCTCTCCAGAAACTGTGAAATCATTTGATTTTGGGTCAGAGAAGAGAATATATGACTGGTATTTTTATCGCCAGTTCTTCCTTACTATAGGAACTATGCTTCTATAATGGAAGATTTGCTTCTTATTGGCTGCAGGCCACATCTTCTTGTGTATGTTTGATTCGAAGGAATGGGAGGGACTGTATTTTACTTATATAATTGTTTCTGAAGTAATTATTATGTAATTGGGTTTATCATTAAAATGTGAATAAATGTATTTTTTTTCATGAACAATTCCGTAGTAATGCTTGATGAATCAGAAAACGTAAAATTTATCTGAACATTATGGAACCGAGCATCAAAGAATTTTTTTTTAAAATTTTCTCATCAAACAATTAGATGAAAACCAATTTCAATTTATTTATTTTATCACTCTTTTTATTTCATTTCTTTCTAATCCTTCAAACCAAACTAAGCTTGTCCTAATTTTAGAGCTGATGGGCTGAGGAATTACTTTATGGCGATGCAATATTCAGGAATGTTTGCAATATTCAGGAATGTTTGAGCGATAGCTAATGCAGAGAACTTAAATTTGTTTTCTTTACTTAGTCTTCACTTAAGCAACCACACAAGCCTGCATTTGAAATGAATGATTATTTCTAGTAGAGCCCCTAAGGGTAAACTACAACAACTCTTTTTGTTCAGTCAACCATTTCTGATGCCAACAAGCTATTTGAAGTTTTGACACATGCCTTAATTGTTTTGATCAATTTGTCTTCACTTTCAATTAGTATTTTTTGGTAGAAAGGCCTTCTAGACGACTGTGTTTAGTTTCCTATACTATTTATATTGGTTACCATGAGATATCTCCTCATACTTTTTCAAAATACTATGCCTACTATTGATAGCCTTTTTATCAAAATTTTAGGATATTATTCACAATGAATTGCTCGATTAACTTCATCTGCAAGGGATATTTGACATACCATTAATTTTAAAGCCGATTCATAGTTATTGAAATCATTACAAGATGAATCCCAATGAGCATGTTGAACCCAGAAAGTATGTAGATGTATTGATTCAAAAATGATTTTTGTGAGACAGTTGAAGTTCATGTGCTATTCATACAATATTAATGTCAAATAAACACGTTTCTTGGACTACTATGTTGATAGTTTTTTGATATCTAGTTTTATGTTCTATTTTATGCTCAGTTTTTGTCCTTGCAGTTCTTTTGACACAACATATACATTCAAAATGTTGATCTTGTTATTATCATAATATTTTATCATCTTTCAATTTTTTGTTTGCCGTGTTATTGAGTCCATAAAATTCATTTTTTGTTCTATATTTTTTTAGTTTGTTTATTTGCTATAAAATTTGGCAGTCCTTTGTCGCCTCCCTCATGTATGGGTCTTCTGCGAGAGTACTAGGCTTGCCCATCACACTGATAAATGCGTGCAAAGTCGGTTCCCTAAGACATTTTAGTCGGGGGCCTTCTTCCACTCTGCCCCCCAAAAAAGGATATATGAGTCTTAGTACCTTCATGAAGGCCTTCACAACATAGAATATCTTCCCCATGCAAACATAAGCAGACATATAATGTGTCGCGAGTGTAGCCTTAGATGTTTCCCAATCATGCTTGGAAAGTGCATAAAGGTTCCACTTGTTTTGCTAAATATGTCAGAAAATGAGATTTTTGAGGAGTTTTCAATGGTTAAATTTATAACAGTTTGTAAGGCATGATAACAACTTTTGCGACGAGATGATGTGCAACACTATCTATTCTACCTTTCTTTTTATAAATTTTCATCTTTTTTTAATTTTATTTCCTTTTTTTCTTTTTCTTTGTTTTTTTTTGCTCCATTTATTTTTTTTTAAATGAGCATAACAACATTGTCTTAAAACTAAATAAATTCCATACATAAATAAAATGATAACCCTAGAACATAATTCTTTGGATGAATTGAACTCTAATCTTTTTTCTTCATCTAGAGATTCCTCTTTGTAATTTTGCTTAATACATTCTCTATTGGCTTGTGATATTGCTGTTGGAACCGTCCAAGGTGATTGTATATGAGGTCATCAACTTGGACTTCGTACTTTCTGTACATTACAGGTACAATGTGCTCAGAAAGACCATTATAAAGGACAGTAAGAAAGTTGCACTAGTTTGAGATGAAAGCAACTGCCCAAAAACCAAGGACAACCATTACGAACATTTTTAATTCTCTTTTGTTTGCAACATCCTCAATGAATACTGACAAGAAATTTTTTCTCACCAACAAAAACAGCAGCACTAACAAAAAAATTCGTTTGACATGAAGAGTCGAGGAAATTCAGATGGAGACTAATTAATTATGCCAAAAGCATTAGAAGAAGTGAACTGAACAATCATTCTGATAACTAGTACGAAAATAATTGCACATCCCTTGAAGGAAAACCTATGTAAGCCTTACACTGACCAAGACACCAGAAGCTATTTTTCTTATTTCTCCATAGAAAACACATGAGCAGATTTTTCCACCGCCTAAAATGTTTTGACCTGGCTTGCGGCGTCCCAAATTGCTTATTTAACTTGTTATATTATTAGTCAGAGATCAAAGCCCCTCATTGAAGGATTGTCCCAACTTTTGCTTAGATGTAGTATCAACAATAGTTTTTGTTATGTTGTCCAAAATGCTCCCAGCAGTCCTTATACTCATGCATCTACTTCTCTCACCAAATACCCATTGAAATGTCAGTGAAGCTTTGGAATTTACTGGCAGCTAAGGTGAGACGGTGGAGACAGCGTTCAAAGACCAGTGGCCACTGGGAATATTCTCTAAAATGAAGCAACGAATGGCACTGAGATGAGTTGAAGGGACCAACTTAAATTTGGATGTCTTATGGGCATGCTCAACTTAAATTTTGATTTTTTTTTTTAACGAGCATCTGCATGATTTCTATCTTCTCTATCGTGAAGGTTATCAACATTTTGAGTTGGAGTGGAAATGGGGCCATGGGAGAAAAGGAATAAGAACTATAAAAAGAGAAAAATTGACGAGTAGGTGGACAAAATTGATGTTTTTGGTGAGAGATCAAGCATGAAGGAGGGGGAAAGATTTAGGGTTTGTAGTCTGCAATAGAGAGGAGGGGACTAATGAAGTGGGATTACAAGTTGCATGTCAATGATGAGCTCATGGTTGAGGGTGTTCGAGCTCCACGTGAAAGAATGATTGGGTTCATCTTTATTAATGTTTTTTAATTATTAAAATTGGATGAGATTGGTGGTGATAGACACACATACCAATATAAGATTTTGGAAAAATTTAATGGATAAATGATTTGACAAAACTTGTATAAGTTTATTTTATATAAAATAAAAAATATCTACATGTATTTATATTCTTGTGTAATTTTTTATTCTCACATCTCAAATTTTGTTTTGTCACCTTATGCTCAGATAAATTTACGAGATTTTTCACGTGTAGTGACTTGGGCAATATAAGTGTCTTTTGTAAGCAATTTTGAAGCTCTGGACGTATCACTATAGCCTGTTTCATAAAAGAAGCAAGTCATGAGTGATTTGATTGTGATTGAGGTTTTATTGAATAGATTTGTGTGATGTTATGTTTGTTTGTTATTTTTTCATGTGGATTGAATCGATTCGGGAGCTCTTTTTTGGTGATTTTGATGCTCCGGGCACATTGACTTAGCCCATTTTATAAACCAAGTGGTTTTTGAGTGATTTTGATTACGATTAAAATATTTCGAACTTGCTTATCAACTTAGCATCCATTATCTATTTTTGGTTTTGCGTTTAACCGTGAGTTGTGGAGATTATGTAGAGGTCAACATGAATACTTTCAAATCCAAATTTTTCATAATATTTATGACATTTGTTGGGTTTTATGAATATTCTACTATGCCTATTGAATGGTTTACTGCTTCAAATGCTTTTATGAGATTGATGAACCATGTGCATAGACATTCAATTGGAGAAAAACATCAAAATGATCCCTTGACTCTTCGCAGGGGTCTTTTTAGTTACAGAGTTTATGAAATTATCAATTTTGTCTTCTATTTTTTTTATTATGGGTTGAAATAGTCCCTTGTGACGACTATTTTCGCCCACCATTAAAAATATGTAAGGGCTAATTTAGCACTTCTATTAACTCCGGGACTAAAATGGCCTCACGTTAATAATCATGGGAAAATATTGGCATTTTACTCAATTGAGTAGTAAATTTTTTAGTGTATTAGATGGTATGAGATTGATTTTGCTGCTAAATCATTTGCCTCAAGTATTGTCTAAATTAAGGGAAGAGAAGGTGAATATTAATCTCAAAATGTCAACAATTATGTAATTAAAAGTCATTTATTGGCTTCGTATTGTCTTGTATGGACATTGTATCCCAAAAAGTCAACAATTTTGTATTTTGAAGTCATTTTTTGATTAGTTTCTTCTATGGGCCTTGTATCAGATTCATAAAAAATCAAAGCAATTTTTGGGTGGTCGATTCTAACTTTAATCGTTAATCATAGGAGTTTTCATGGGTTAACTATATTTCATTTGGAATTTTTTTATAATCAGTGTTGCCCCTTTAACATTGATTTAAAAGAAACAACAAGTTTAATTGGATTTGGAAACCATCTATTGATAAAGCCTTTGAACAAATAAAGTTGTTAATAGCCATAGCACCAACAAAAATTCTTTTATTTTGCTGAAGTTTTTGAGGTACCTAGTGGTGTGCCTTGTGTTTGTATCAATATTCTTTTAGTCCAAGGTCATTGAGTAGCTTCCTTTAGTGTGAAGTTGAATAAGGTTAAACGGATGCATTTAACTTATGTTAGAAAATGTTATCTTTTATTATTTTTATTTTTTATATGTTATGAAATATTATGCTTTCATTCAAGCTTTAAATATATTGGTGTTCTTATTTACTATTTAAGAATTAATTCTCATTTTTGATAAGCTTGAAATATATAAATACCCAAAAGAATTTAAGTAGAAAGCATATCTAGTGGATTGAGTACATTCAAAATTTTGCCTTTGTCTAAACCATACAACTAGAATTCAAAATTTGAGTTTTTTCGCTATGCACTTTAATGTGTTTGTAATAATTTCTTACCTCCACTTAATTTATCACAATTATAAGTATGTCACATGTTTCTTTTGCTATTTTTGTAGTTCAAGACGAGCATGCCCAATCGTTTTTTTTAGGGTGGGAAAACTTATTTAAAAAAATAATTTTAAAAAACTAAATAGATAAAACATATTGTTTAAAATTAGTGAATAAGTTCGTTAACATACTCGATTAAAGCTCGATATTGACTTACATAGAATACAAAAAATATTATAATTAAAAGTTTTAATTAAGTTAAATAAAATAAGATTAAAATTTTCTTAAAACTAAAATAATTTTCATATTATTAACATAAAAATAATTTAATATGCTTAAGTTTTTCAAAATAATGTAGATTTTTTATTTAATACATATTTACTTTTGGAGAGTACAAAATTAAACCGTATAAAAAATAAAAAATATCATAACTTGAGCCGGTTCCATGTATGTTCATTATTAAGGATGATTTACATACATACCACTCAATTCCTATGTATTTGCATATCTAAAACCTAAACTTTAATTTTAACATTTATGTTATCTATGCATGGAAAGTGTATTTCACCTTTTTTTTTGGATTAAAATAGTGATATTTTGATGTGCTATGAAAGATTTGGATGGCATAAATATAGAAGATAGAGTTTAGGTGTTAGAATGTAAATACATAAGAATTGGGTGTTATGTATGTAAATGCCCCTAATAAAAATTGATGTAAAGCTTTTAGGCGTGAAAGGTTTATTCACTGTTTAGTTCCACATAGGAAAGAACTAATCATTATTATTCCTTAAATAGAATAACATGGTTGTACCTTCCACAATATAAAGCATCTTGTGGGCTTGAAGGGGTGTGAAAATTTTTTCTTGAAAACTTTTTCAGCTCGCCTCGATAAAGAAATTGAACTGAGTCATGGAAATAAGCTTGAGATACGGGTTTTTTGTCTTTGTGTTGGGTCAATAGGGGCAAGCCGGGGCAAAAATTCTTTGTTAGGGGGGAAAATATAAAAAAAAGGCATCCTAGTATAAAAATTGAAAAGTTGAAGGTGGCCAACTATCTTGGGTCTGCCGTTGGTTCAAGGTGGATTTATTTATAATGGTAGTGGGCTTTGCATTCCTAGGATCTCTCTTTGTGATCATATTATTTGGGAAACATGTGCCAGTTGCATGATGGGACACATTGGTTGGGATAAAATGACACATTTGCTTGAGTGTATGTTTTAATGACCTTTATTAAAAAGAATATTGCTATGATTGTTGACTAGCGCAATGAATGTCAAATGGGAAAGCTATCCTACAATGCTTTGGCATGCACATTTCTGTTCTAGTCCTTTCTACTTCTTGGGTTGATTTGTCTATTGATTTAATATTAAAGTTGCTTAAGTGGCCATGATAGAATAGTACTGGTTGTAGAAAGATATTTTTAAAATGATTCATTTTGTTTTATGCTCCATGACTACTACTGCATCTTATGTGGCAAAATTTTTCTCAAGGATGATAGTTAGGTTACAGGGGTTAACCAAGAAAATAGCATCTAGTAGAGATGTCAAATTAATTTTTTATTTATGAAAATTCGATGGAAATTGTATGTTACTATCCTAAGTTTCCATCAATCTCAAATTGATGGTAATGCTGAGGTAGTAAATAAAAAAATTGAAAGTCTAATAAGATGCTTGGTTTGAAAATATTCAAGTAATTGGGATTGGATTTTCCTACTATTGAATTCACATACAATAGCACCACATGAAAATAAATGGACATGTCATCATTTGAAATTATTTAGTGATTGAATTCTAGACAGCATATATGTATCTTATCCATGTATCACTGCTTTCATACTCTGATTATGGTACATTATTTGTACAATACATACACGATTTACATGCTATTGATAGAAAGGAGATTGAGTTGCGTCATACGAAATATTTTGATGGTATAATTATTAAGAGAATGGCTCGTGAGTATAATGATGGCGACTTTGTCATATTTCAATTTCACTCTGAACAGATTGCACAAACCTAACATAAGAAACTCATGCAAGGGCATGTTGTCCTCTTATGATTAGTAGAAAAATTAGTACTAATGTTTATTTTTTAGATTGGCCTTTTGATATATTTATGTCTTGTTTTAATATTCAAGGTTTATGGCTTTATCATGGAATATTTGAACAGTGTGAATTGACATTTGAGTCGTGTGAATTGGTAGCTGATTTTATATTGGTTGGATATCTACAATAATTTTTGCTTTCATAACCCATTATTTTAGTTCTATTGCTCTACTTGGATGTTGAAACTATCATTTCAAAAGTAGTGCTACTTAGGAAAAATGTTGAGCATACGTTTTTATTAAAGATGAAAGGGCAGATCTCCTTTAAGTTATATTTAGATGAGTGAACTACAAAATCCATTCCCTTAGCTTTTTGATGATTGCTTGATCTTAACTCTCAGAAGGAGAGTCGTTTGCTCTTTAAGGGTGTTAATGCACTACAAACCTTCAAACCTATCAAATAAGTATAAAAAAACCCAAGTGACCATAGCCAGTTACATAAAGTCAAACCAGGTTATAATAACTTTGCACTTGACCAATTTTAAAGCCTTTCTGGACTTTTTTATTTACGATTGAATTTTTAATAATTTTTTAATTTAAATTATTTTATTATATTTTCATCTATTTTGAATAAGGCTGTTTAGCTAAGATTTTTCTTGATTTGGTTAAGGCTAATTTTACATTGAAATATTTAGTCTTATTTTTCTATTTCTATTTTTTATAAATATGGAATAATAATGCGTACTTCAATAATTGAATGAATGTAAAGTAGTTATAAGTTATGTCTCTTATGCTTAAAAATGTTAAAAGGTGATCTATTTCAGTATTTTGTTGTTTCAAGTTTGTATTGTATGTTTTGTGTGACACACATAGTCATGTTGTCTTGTGGTTGTTTATAATTGTTGGCAACCTTAAATTTAAGTCAATTCACCCACAATTTTTCTATGTAACATTAGGTGGGAGTCTCAAGGTTATTTCAAGCCAACTTTTGATAATGGAGGAGATCCTTTTGTTATAACAATGCCTCCTCCAAATGTTACTGGTTCGCTACATATGGGGCATGCAATGTTTGTAACTATTGAGGTTAGTAAGATTGTATGCTTAGTCGCTTTTTTGAAATTCAAAGTCTTTTTTAATCTGTACTCAAGTTATGGCCTTTATTTGTGCTTTTTATTATCTTTGCGTGCTTTACATATATTCTAAACAATGAGAAAAATATAAAATAGCCTTTTAATGCTTATCAATTCTAAGAAAATTCAAAATAGAACTCAATTGAGGGCATACAACTTTACTAGCATCATATATAAACAAATATTTTTGTGTATCAGGAAGGCACACGAACTTGCAAGTTTACCAGGGTGAATGGTTAGTCCTATGATGTTTATCATTTCGCATTTTCCATTGAACCTTTTTCTTACTCCCATGGAAGCATCATGTTCTTAATGGCATACATCATCTAACTTGTCTTTTTAATAGGATCTCATTTTAGTATTCCTTATTATTGTTTTTCTTCTTAGGCATTTTGTTGGTTTTGATTCTACTTAAGAGCATAGGTCAATCTCCTTTCAACTTTTTTAGAAAATTTAGAAGGATGTAGAGCAACATGAAGTTTCAAAGTAGATTCAGATAATATCTCAAAGATTTCTAGATAGAAGGCAAGCTAGCTTGGGTTTATTTAGAGTTGGGGCTTGAGGTTTCCTATGGGCTTAAGCTTATGGTTAATCACTTCAACGTCTAAGAAAATTTGATTAAGGGCAATAAATACACTCTAGTTGCTACTCAGGATTTTGGGATTATAGGGGATTCAATGAAATAAAATTGAATGCCATGAGACACATTTTGTGGTCGTAATTTATATTGAACATTTGATTTGAAATGATCCTTAAGGCTCATCATTTCTCAATGACATGATAAAACTATCTAGTTGAGGAAATTGTATATTATTCATGGGTTGCCCCAAATAATGAATTCTGAGGTAGCTTAAGTTTTGGGGTGGAGTTCAACTGACTCAAAGAAGTGAGTACAAGATAGAGTGATGTCATCTTCTTAAGTGAGGATGTAATTTATAAAAGCAGATGAGTTCCAATCTTAGGTTGATGAGGTTGTAGAAATTGGGGTTATACTTTTAGAGGAAGACACACTAAGCATATTTTGGAAACTAGGGCTTATAGCTTTAATATTGAAGAAACCTTGGAAATTGGTATTGGACAGGGCTATAGCTTGATCTACAGAGGTTGTGGAACTTGTGGTGGATGTGGCTTAATTAGAAGATTTTTAATTAGGTTAGCAATCCTATGGATGTCTGATTTAGATTCAATTTAGAACTGTCTCATAGATCTAGTCTTGGAGATGCGATGAGCCTCTATCCTGTCTGTGTATTCACTGACTTGCACACAAATCCCACTTGGTTTCTATTCTAAGCCCTAGTGGAAGTCCACTACTAACACATAATGATACCCTATTTATATCTGTAGAAATCATGAAGAAAAACGAACGCTTAACAACCTTAACGTCTTTCTAGTGGATGTGCTAGCTGTTAAGAATTTGGACTAAACCTTGAATATTTGGAAAGCCCATGAATGGGTCTGGTATGCAAGTGATTGCTTTGTTGTAAGGGAAGTACGTGAGTGTGACTTACAACGTTTTGATTATGGAATTTTCCAACATTGGGTGATATATCCTCACCTTATTGGTGAGCATCCTAAATGCATTATATTTTAAGTGATCAAGGTAGCCCTAAGGCTTTACGCAGATGGGCATATCAAGTATTTTGTTCGAGTATGAGCATTAGTCCTTCGGGTCCTATTTTACATGTTCAAATTAGTAAACTATATCCGACTATTGTTTGACTTCCTTTAAAAGGATTGGGATTAGGTGCTTTTTTATGAAATGAGCGTCTCAGTTCTCTTATTATTTTATTGGGATAGTGATTGTCTTAGATTAACTATGTTCACTTTTCTTGAAAAAGTGATTGAGATGACTGACTTATTTTTGTTGCTGGATATTATTCAACCCATTAAAATAGAATTTTTTTGGCCTTACTATTTTGTGCTCATGCAATAGCATTCAAAGGCTTCGAGGATGGTTAAATTTTTTGGAGTTGAAAAAGGAACTATGAAAACATTTCATATTTGCATATAAAATTAATGGGTTTGTAATGTATTGGGAGCAATATGAGTGATTTTGATGAGCGCACTGGGGATACCCATGTGACACAAAAAAGAAAAAAGTATTGGTGTTGATTTTAGTGAGTATGAGGAAATGATTGGGGTTGAGCATGACTAAAAGGCCAATTAATGCTCTAAAAGCTTATAGAAAATGGAGGGTGAATAAATATTACTTTGAAGAATCAAAGCTCTACTCCCTTGGATATCCAAGTTTCAAGCTAAAGTCAAACCAAAAACATCATGAATCATGAACTAGTTTTTTTTAAAGAAACTAAAACAAGTTGAAAAACCTAAACCTGGTGGAAGTAAACTAGAATTTCTAGCTTCTTTGCAAAATGTGCTAACACTTCTTAGCATATTTGGCACTCTTATGAGGTTATTGGAGCTAAGGTGAGATGTTTTTCTTAGCTCTTCTCAAGCAAGACGACCATTAAACCTATTTCACAAAACAATGCATGAACAAGCCCCTCTAAGCAATGACTGTCTTGGGTGTAGCTTTTATTGATCGGGATGTACTCTTGTGAGTAATGTCACAACCATTCGTTCTGTCAAAAAGGACATAACTGATGAAAAGCTCAATAGGATTTTGATTGTTCCTGATGCTTCATTTAGTTCAAATGACTATTAAGACTTGAGTCAGTTCAACTTGAGTGTTCATATTTTGAGCTCAAATTAACTTATGCTTCGCTATTTCAACAAAAAATGGCGAGCTTCATTAGACCTCTTATATTGGTATTCCTTTGGGTGGAATCCCAATTTGAAATCATTATGATATTGATATTTCATTTTGGGCTCTCATAAGGCATCCATGATTGCAAGAATTTTGGATGATATTGATAATGTTTATTAGTACTTGAAGTATGCATGTACATAATCATGTTGAACACTATATCAAAGGGGGTAAACTTTTGTTCTCTGTACATGCGTTGAGTATTTTGATAAGCACAATACATTATTTGAAAATGAAACAAGGAGCTTTAAATAAAAAAAAAAAACCCTTGAAGGACTCAAACCCTTTCCAATAATTTGGAAGGATAAGTGGTAGGAGCAATTTTAGGTGGAAGGAACAACATTAATTCTAACGTGTTGTTGCTTCTAATGTTTTGATTAATTCCCAGAAGCATCTTCATTGGCACTGACTCTAAGATGGAGATGTATGAACCTCGATCAAGGGTCCACTCCAAAAGAGGCCTATATCAGAAGCAGTTTTGATAAGGGGAATGCTATGGAATTCCACAAACTTTAAGAGTTTTGTTGAGGTTTTATCTTTTTCTGTTAGAATCCTTTAGTGATCTTGCTACAAAAGAAAGGATAGAATAGATTCTTTTATGATCTATTGTTAAGAACTTCCGTAAGTGTTAGTTGCAAGTGTACAAATCCATCTTGGATGCTAGAGTCGCTGAACTTTATGATATAGCTGGCATTCTGGCACATAATGTCACTTATCAAAGCATAATAGATCATATAGCTAATGCACTTACAAAACTAAAGATGTTCTCCATTATTTGAACAAGCACCTTGAAGAATATGTTATTCTTATGTATCGAATAAACTGCTTCGAGTGCAAGCATAAGACCCATTTGAGGAATTTTAAAGTAATCCTATTGTTAGTTTTTCTTCTAGATGGTGAAGTCATAAAGCTGAAGAAGTTTATACTCAATTGTCAAGATTTCCTCGCTTGAAATTACACAAAAATACTTAGCTTGGCTCTTAAGGTGTGGTGCAAAAATTAGATATCAATGTTGCGACAGTTTTGAAAAAAAATGTGGCTGAAGATTGAACATTAGGTCATCATCAAAACTACAAAACTCATCAAAGTAGACTTCTACTAAAAGAAATGTCCCATCTAGATGGCTAACAACCTTTTGTTAAGGAATAAAAATGGTCAAACCCGTGTTTACATAGGGATATGAATGAGGCATGCTCATAGGATGACATTTACTTCTTACGATAGAAGCTACAATTGATGACACATTAAATCATGACTTGCTCTCATTGATGCTCCTGTAATTTATTTACCAACAAATCAAAATAGCATCAAGAGATGAGAAACATTGCCTTTTTTGCCCCTGTATAGAAGGTGATGCCTTTTGTTTCTAAAAATGCTGAATCAACTTATTAATGAGCTTCAACCTATATCATCGATGTCTTCATTCACAAAAAAGTACATTGTATTGTCAAAGACTTCATATGAAAATGATTTGATGCGAGGACCACACTAAAGAGTTTACATATGACCTTTGAGCTTCGTCTCAAGTTTGACCTGAAGATCATACTTAAATATGCCTTCATAGTTTCCAAAGGGAAATTCTTTTGTTTTGCACCATCATGGATTGAAATTTGTCCCTCTAAAATCAAGGTATTATGGAAATATCACAAGCAATAAATTTGAAGAGTTGTTTTCACTTTGAGGAAGGATAACTTACATTTCGCATTTGATTTTCAATCTTTGCGTAGGTTCCACTCTTCGTGAGGGTGATGAGAAGGGGTGCCCCATTGAAGTGGGATGTGAAACGTCATGTCACAATTGATGATATCAAATATTACGTTCTTAAATCTCTGATCATGAAGACTCCAATTTAAGTAAAGCTGTTGGTTTTCTACATAAGCTTGTTTGGTGAGTCACTTGATCCATGTTGACCTAAACAAATGAAGATGGTTAGGTAAGCGTCGCCTATTGTATCAATAGATGCATATCGTGATTGAGCTAAAATCCATTTATCAAATGCATAATTTTAGCACTGATATGAAGCTTCACAACTATGTGTTTTGTTATGTGAGGATTCTTGTCTTAAAAAAATGACCTACGACATTATTGGGCAGCCTTTTTAGGTGTTCAATAATCCCACTGTAATTTGACATAACATGTATTTTTGAGAAAAAAATCAAACGGCGCATGAAGGATTTTGTGACAAG